GCATGAGTTAATTAGCATCTTGTTCTTAGGATTAAATATTATGCTTTCCTTTCTTTTATTCCCCCTTCCCTCTCACTGAACTTAGTTGTTACGTATTTGACTTCACTTACTCCCTTTTTCCTTTTCCTTCTTCATTTTTTGGCCTTCCCTACTGTGTTCAGAATTATTTCTTCCATCCTCTTGCTCCTTTTCCATTTCCTTCTTCTCCACTCATTTCACTTCTAATGGGGAATTCTGTCATCATTGCTCCACCTAGCTGGCTTCTTCCTCTTGCTCTGATCAGTGCACATATTAAACAAGGTAGTTCCAACACAAAGCAAAATTAACAAGTGCAACAAGAAATCTGAGCTTTAGGGTGCATGCAGCAGCAACTACAGTGACAATTGGGTTGTCCCATGAAATCTGAGACCCTCTGAAGGTGCTCCTTTAACTAAATAGAGTTAGTTCAATGTCTCATGCCTTGCCCTTCCTCTGTAGCTACTGGTGCACTATTTTCCTAAGAATGATGACATAATTAAATATGGCATGTGGCACAGACTAACAAAATCCACACTAATTTCACTTACTCAGGAAAGACCTTTATAATTCTTTCACAACTGTAAGAGAATAACTATTTCTCAATACTTTTTCAATGCATAATGAATGTTAAACAGGAAACACCAGCTCAATGTGCCTTTATTATTTTTTAGATGTTGAAAAGGTGTAGAGCAAGACAAGGATTTATTAATAGCATTTGGATGCCTAATAGCCTTAGGCTTCTTAGAAAAACTCAACCCAGAAGAGAGATGTTCTCAGCACATTTGCACAACAAGCTGATGGAATAAATTGGTATATTTTAATCACAGCCTTTGGATTAATGACCGGCATAAGAGTCTCTAGATTTTCCTGGACTGGTTTCACATTTCTCATTTTGGTATTATTACCATTTATGATCTCTTAATTATCCTTATTCTTATAAACTCTGATAATCTTTCTCTGATCTTGAGAATTTTGATGTCTGGATTCATTCTTCAGCCACAAAGTTATAAATCTTTAAGGAAAAACTGATTATCTAATTGTATGAAAGAAGGGGGAACCATAACTTTTTTCTCTGACCACATTTTTAACCGAAGTATAATAGCTGCTGTGTTCTGCGGGATGCTCCTTCTTTCAAAAGTATGTGTATGTGTACATGCACATTAACGTTGCTCAGAGGATACCTACAAAATTGGTCTCCTACACAAATGATGTGGAAAAATGGCATGTCTGAGAATGCTGAAAGTCATTGGGAAAACAAAAAATATGGGCAAAAAAAGCCCCAAACCACAACACTGTTTTGCAATAGCAGAAGACTGCTCTAAGCATTGTGCTATGTCCTGCTAATCTAGTTTGCCCCTTTTATCCTTCCCCGTTGACTCCAACTCATTGCATTTAACAAAAGGGCAGGAACAGCCTTTAGCTTAAGTAGTGCCTATGCTGGTAGGTAGAACACGCCATCAAAAAATGAATGATACAGGCTTGAAACACTCAGCCTGAGAAACTGTCTCTCATTTTCTAGTAGAAAAGACTGCTTTTTCCTCATCTTTTTTAAAAGGAAAAAAAAAAAGAAAAAGAAAGCTGCGAACTGCTCTGCCACAGTCATAGTATGCAGGGTAACAAGGGGATGGAGGTGTGCTGAGAAATGACATGTTGCAAAGCAGGGTGAGAGTCTGAACATGCCTGTGGCTTTCTATCAGAGATCTTTATTAAGAGCTTTTTAGAGCTCATACAGAGCTTGAATGAATCATCTGTAAGCATCTATCACTTTCAAAAGGTTAGAGCTTTGGTGCTGTGATTCACTCAAATGGGGCTGGGTACCTACATTTCAGGTATGGCAGTATCCCAGCTGGGAATCCTAAAGTGTATGCCTGAGTCTCTCCTTTACCACCATTTATTCTAGCCCTCATGCATATATTCAAGCAACCCAGCACTGAGTGTCCATAAATTAAAAACAAAATGAGCTGCTAATGCTCAGCAGTCTTGAAAACCTGCCCAAATATTTCAGTGCTTAAATGTTGAGGAACCTGTTTTGAAATAGGCTTTAAAAAATGCATATTTTTTATATAGATACATAAAACATCTCCTAATTCAGGTGAGCAATATAACTCCTCGAATATATGCATTTTGCACACACACGTGCATACACAGAGGAAAAATAATTAAAAAACACCCAAAGAAGTAAATACAAACATTAGGGGAGCAATACAGGTGCTTAAATATGGGTTTCTAGTGCCAACTATGTCTTAATTACAGAGGAAAGACAGTGACGGACACTTGACTATTACAGCGAACCAGATATTATCACCTAAGTCACAAAACACTTCAACTACTTCTCATCTAGGCTGGCAAAGGCAGCAGTTTACCCATAACCAGAGATTTGCAGGACATTCTCTGTACATTACCCTACTTCTTGAGATGATACTTTGGAAAATCAGATCAGAAATCCTCTATCGAATCTTGCTAGTAATACATCATAATACTAACTTTTAATGTCAACCAAATTAAATAATAAGATTTAATATATTAAAAATAAATGCACATACTAAAAAATTTGTAAGTACAGTTATATTTAAATCATACCCCCCAAAAAGATAATATTATACTTGAGGTCAATAAATCCACTGCTGCAAAAGCAGTACTTGCGATTGTAAGACTGGACTTGCCTCTTGCTATGTTTCCAGTGCTCTGTGAGCATCCTCAGTGTGGTGCTTTGGAAACTACCACTGGGAGCCGTAATAATAACCATACTACAGGAACCAAATGTTGGCAGCATTCACAGCTCCTTTAGGAGAAGCTTTTATGCTCTCCCCAGTACATGAAAGAAAGATGCCCCTGTTAGAGTATCGTGGGAAGATCTTAAATTTAGGTAATATTTCACATAATGAAAGGCAGATTTCTGTGTTTTGAATAAAAAAAAAGAAAGCTTCTCATCAGTCCTCACCTGAGGATCACACACCTCCAGCGGTCTTCAGATGCCTGTTTTCATGGCTCGTGCTCCCCCAGAGGCACTTGTAGCACGGCACCCACCTTCCTTCAAAGGCAGGTTCTGCAACATTCTTGTCCTCGGTTAGAAAGGAGCCAGTAACTTCTCTGCATACCCATTATATGCTTTTTAAAAAGCAAGACCACAAGAAAACTAGCAACAATGATGAACAATAGACTAAAATACTGCAATGTATCTCAAGAAATGAAAAACTTCAGTTTCTTACATCAGATATAGCATTTCTGCTTGTTGGATAATGCTTCCTTGGAATTGCCTGGCTTCTGTCATTGCTGTGGAGAGACTGAATTGAAAAAGCAGTTATTTACTTGTTGTATGTTAGTAAGAATAATAATCAATGCAATATCTGTTGCTCTCACTAATGACCCCTTTCCATATGATTGTTTTATCGCACTAATGACAAAATAAAATTGCAACCTTTAAATAGTATTGCATTTAAAAGAAAGATAAGCCATATGGTTTCTAAAACTGGAACTTATGCATGTGGAAAAGATGACAGAATAAGATGAAGGTGGCTCTTACGAGACACTTTCAAAGGCACAGAATTCCTAGTAAAGAATTTTATTTTTCTGTTAAAGATACTAAACTAAACAGAAACAAATGGAAGACAGAAGAAACACTTTAAAAATTCTCTTCAAAACAAGTATGTTGCTAACTAAATTGAAAATAAAAAAGCATTCCTGTTCTATAATAGTTAATCAGAATTTGAGGTTTTAAGAGGAGATTTTATTGAAAATGTATCTGTAAATATCTCAGGTAGTCCCACAAACTACAGATATTCTAGGCCCAAAATGAGAGACAAAGATGATGACTTTTTCTAAAGTATTGCACAGTATAATGGTACCCTCACTCCTTAGCCTATATTATCACTAATTTCTTCTTCTAAATATATATAATTATATTTTAAGACTTTCTTTAGAAGAAGCTTAGTGTAGTTGCTATGATCCCACTTAATAATGCCTTGAGAAACAGAACAACAGATCCAAATAAAATATCCCTCCTTAAAGTATAAGTCAAAGGCTATCTACGTGAAAAATAATCAGATTTTGCATTCCATTCTTTCAACAATACAACGGCACTTTCAAATATGCTTTGTTGTTTTCTTTTAATTCATGAAAATTAATCTTATAGATGTAGATGCCAGATTTGCATTAATTAAAACTCCACTGTAGAAGCCAGGCTTAATTGCAATCAAATTTGCTTAATTATGCATGGCGAGAGATTCCCAAATGAGAAAGGTTTTAGTAAGGATTTTTGTTTTTTATACTGACAAAATAAATTGAAATTGTCATTTTTTGTGTTTTATGTAACACTTGTAAATAATTTGCAGAGCACCTTAAGTCTTCTATGTAAAGCAATGTTATTGCTTAAGTAATTATAACAATCTGCATTTTTCATTGTTAATTGTGGGTGTCAGCCTCATTAATTTTAATTTACAGCCTGTAATGAAATTAAGAAAATTTTGTGCTGATCTGCTGAAACTTGTCTTACAGAAAGTTACTTAATAAAACTGAAGTTTAGAAAAGTAAGGAATTTATCGGTGCGTTGTCAAGACAAGTAACAAATGTTCATTTTTCTCACAAGTTTGGCTTCTAATTTTAAATCAATATCCAGTAAAGCAATTTGTGTCAGAAAGTTTGAGTAAGTTCAATCTGCAAATTTTTCACTTCAAGAGTAATTACATAGAAGAATGCAGACATAATATGCAGTTTTATTGCCAACAGATAGTATGTCACTGCAGTCAAAAACTTTGTTGTAACTCTGTTCTATTGTTCATACACTTTTATTCAGTCTAAGCTGCTTGATTAACCAGATGAATTAACTCACTGAGTAGTGAGCATTGGAAAAGGCAAATATAAGTCAAAAAAGAGCACTTCATAAACTGCATCTGAAACAAATAAACACAGTTGTGCAAATAACAATAAGCAGCTGAATATATTTCCATAAAACTGCAAGAAAACAAAGAAAAACTTGACTTTCATGAGTCTATAAACTCGTATCCTATAGCCAGCTGCTGTCACATCCAGGGAAGAGCATTCTGTGCTGCGATTCTGATCCTTCCGTTGTCTGTGGACATAAGCATGACTGCCGCTGTGACAAGTCCTGCTTTGGCAAGACCTTTACGCATAAACTCTGCTCTAAGCATGAAAATCCCAACCAAAACAAACAAGACTGAAAATTACCTTCAAGCCTGCATCCCTTCTTGTGTTACAATGGCGTGCCACATTTTTTAAAAGACTACAAAAACTTAATTTTTGATTTGTTTATTGCTGCACTTGATGATGGCAATTGTTTGTAGCATGAGATACTCAGCTCAGTTAGATCTTCATCCCTCTGTCCAGCGACGAGGTTGTTTGAAAGTTTAACTACCAAAGAAAAAGTAAAAACTCCTTACGGTTGTTCATGGTGGGCTGTCAGTTGGCCAAATCTTGTTGCTACTTTTGGGGGTAAATTCAGGACAAGCATTCAGGATATATATAAAACAGAATTCTACATCTGCAAACACCATTCCTTTCCTGTGATTGGAAATTTCTATATAAAGTAAGTTCTTCTTCCCTATTTAAACAAAGCAGTTTCCTGATTTGTAGGAACAGTACTAAAGAGCACAAAACCTCCTCATCATTCATCTTAAACTTTTAAAATATAAATTATTTTTGTGAAAAAATTCACAATTTAAATAATGCATAGGCGATTATAGCATAATATTAATAAAGATTTTTCTTTGCATAATGTAATACTTTTTCCATCTTAATCAAGTGGTTTTGAATATCTGAATTATAATAACTTTTAAAAGTTAACATTTTGAAGACATGAAATTATATGAGAAATGTAATAAAGGGGTCACACAAAAAAGTAGTCAAAATAAAATATTTACATAATGTGATATTCGGGATATCTGAAAGGCTCTGTGGAAAATCATCTGAATGGAGCACATCTCAAAGAGAGAAATAGCAACCAGGTGCCTAATTCTTATTAAAATATGATGGGAGCCAAACATTTTTTTGCCATATTTAAATTTGGTTCCTCAATCATGCCTGCCTAAAAACACATATATTCATTTTTTAATCACTAGTAGTTTTATCTTTCAATTTCTCAATCACAGTCAAGTATGAAAGAAGATTTCAGTGTTACAGAAGTTTCCAGCCAGCAATGGTTGAAGACTTCAAGTAAAATAACCTAACAAAACCCAAAGTCAGCATATCCTATAAGCCTAAAACCCTGCGTGCTTTATTTCTGTATTATTTTACCTATTATATTTTCAAGATAAATTCTAAACATATTGCACCGCCTGCGGGTTTGGGGCAAGGGGTTAAGTTCAAATATAGTAGAAAAAATGTTTCATTCTTTGTTGTTCAGCACCTAAAATTTTGTGCTGTCTCATTCACTTTCTTTCAAAACGCTTTCACCTATTTCACTGCATACAAAAATATGTCGTAAGATCAATTCCTTTTTCTCTCTTCATTGCCAAAATGTGCAGTTCTGTGCAGTTCTGAAACTTTATCTTTCGTAAACTGTAAAGTTTTCAAAATTAAGCATAACATAGCTAATAACCTTTGCTCACATTTTCTATGGCCCCTTTATTAAGATCTGCTTTTTAATATACTCACTCTTTTGCTTTCCACACCTCAGCCCTTCAAACTCTATCCTTTCCTTCCTCTGTTCACCTGAGTTTGCGTCATTGTCCTAGCCATGCAAGAAAACAGAAAGATATGGCTTAATTAGGGTGCAACTTTATTAATTCAATTTATCCAGCAACAATCTCTACGATATAGGTGATAATTTTTTCATTAATTATTTTCACTTGGAAGATGGTGGCTATCAGCTTTCAATCCCTCTGGGAGACAGTCCTCAGCCCTTGGTGGGTGATCCACCAGCCTATTATGGTTGTTAGGAAGAACAGGTTCTCTTCTTGTCACACTAGACATGAAGAGTCCTACTTCCAGTATCTCCCTCCTTCTCAGGAGACTCTCAGTCTTGTCCGTTTTTTATTTCTGGTTTACCAAACAAGTAGATCCTCTATGGTTGTTCAGGTGTCTCAGTTTTTTACTCTATTGGAGCATAGGTACAGGTAGATGACTGGAAGGCTAGGCTAGACAGTCTAAGTTATACCCCCTACACGTATTTACAAGATCTAGTGGCAACCTGTGCTCCACTGACCTGCCAGCCTCTCCATTAAGCTTTCCTCCGCCTGGATGATTGACTTCCAAAATCTATGAAGTCAGATGCTTAAAAGAGCTAGAACTCTTTTTTTTTTTTTTCTAGCTAGTCTACAAAAACTAATAAGGAAACAAAGAATGTTGTGGACTCAATTTTTTGTATTGTAGAGCCCACCTTCGAACATCCCTAAGCTCTTCCCTTATTTTTGCTTTTACTGGAGACTATCCATTGTTGATTTGCTTGTCCTGTTCTTTTATTGGTATTGAGAAGCATTTATTGTTATGACCTTGCATGCGCTTGCCCAGTGCTTTGGATGAAAAAGCATTATATCATGTCATAAATTTAATGGAAAAAATATGAAGGAACAAAAATGGCAATAGCTAGGCAAGTTGTGGGGAGACATTGTAATTTTTCCGACATCCAAAGACATTTCTTAAATATGTAAAATAGCAGGACCCTGCCTCAAAGAATTTACAATCTGAACAGGTGAAGCCAGTAAGGGAGGGAAAGAATAATAAATCCAAGATGAGAACAACATGAGAAGTACCTCAGAGTTTGTGTTCTGCTCTCTGCCGTTACTGCTCCTATATATAGCTTGTTACTCTAACTGAACATGAAAATGGAAAGCATAATCTTGTAAGACAGATGAGTCCCAGAATATACTGCATGATCTTGCATATGCTTGATCCACCACAACTGTGCAGATGAGAGATAAAAACATTGAAGCATAAAGCTAATGCTTTTTAATATGGCCGAGAAAACATTAGACAACTCTGACGCCATGCACTTCTGTTATACCGATATACTTTACTAGTGCAAAGAGTTTTAATTTTTTTTTTTTAATTCTTCACAGTGGCTTGTAGTGAAACAGTTTTCAAGCTGCTTTTCAGCATATGCTAAAAATGCAGAAGAGACTTTAGAATTTGCCAAAGGTCACAGATGAAGTCTGAGGCAGATTCTGAATCCTGGGTTTGAACTAAGTGTTGGTGCCTGTAACGGATGAAAGTCTTTTCAATGTGCAATAAAACTGAGAATGTGATTAATCTGGTGTGTTATAAAAATGTACAGAATTAAAACTGGCCAGTAATAATCTAGGCATCTAATATCCAGGAACTAAGCAGGTTTTCCGTCTTACAAGGATAGGAACTAGTGCTTATACACCTCAGAGGTCTATTCAATTTTGACATTGCTTCTGAGGGATGTATACAGAGCAATACCAACAGGAAGAAAAACGCCCTTAGGAAGTGAATTTCGATTTACATTCAGCGTGCAACATATTTTTGCAATGCTACTTATGATTTTTTACATTGTCTTGCGGTAATAAACTTTTCTTCTGCTGAGAGTGGGAATAATTGTGAAGTACAGAGTAAAGTGGATTCTTTAAAAAGCTGAAAATGATTGCACGTTTTAAGGATATCTACAGGTCTAAGTCTTTTGATGATGAATATTGCCTGATACTCCCCAGTATCGTAGTGAGTTGTAAAAATGTAGGGATTAGGTTGTCCCAAAGGAAGTATATACTACCACTACCACTACCACTACCACTACCACTACTACTACTACTACTACTACTACTACTACTACTACTACTACTGCTACTGATAAAGTATATAATGTGAAGTAGAAGTTCTCTTTTTACCTAGTTTCAGGTGATGGTTATAAAAAATGTTGAGTTCACGAAGAGGAAGACTGAAATTTTTCTTGAAAAATATTGACAATTAACTCTCTTTGCTGTCATTTCTACAGCCTGGAGGCAGGGCTAGCTCTAGAAGGGGGTGATGAACATGCTTATTTAAAGAATGGGGCTGTCATAGCCTGCTAGATGACCTTACTTACTTCCTACATGACCAAGCACAACAGCTCAAGCACAGTGGGAAGCCAGGCCAGTTTGGAGTGGGATTGGGGAAGGCCGGTTGTGGGTCAAGAAAGCCAAGCCAGTTCGGGCTGGGGGAAGGCAGGACAGTTTTGGTTGTGGGGGAGGAAGCAGGGTCAGTTTGGTGGGGAGAAGCTAGGCCATTTTGGGCTGAGGGATGCCAGGCCAGTTTGGCGGGGGATTGGGGAAGGCTGGTTACAGGTCGGGGAAGCCAGGCCTGGCCAGGGTGAGGTAGAAGCCAGTCCAGTTCAGGCTGAGGGAAGCTAGGCCGGTTTGGGATGGGGGAAGACAGGCCATTTCGGGGGTGGGTAGACAGGCCATTTTGGGGTGGGGGCAGGCAGGCCCGTTGGGGTGGGGGAAGGCAGGCGATTTCAGGGAGGGGAGAAGGCAGGCCATTTTGGGGGTGGGGGTAGACAGGCCATTTTGGGGTGGTGGTAGACAAGCCAGCTGCCTGTCTGGAGGGCCAAGTCCGTCCCCAAGCAGCACCTCAGCCTCACACCCTGCCAGTGGCAGCAGCTCTTTGTAGGGCTCACTTTCTCTCTTTCTCTCTTGCTTTTTTAATTTTGAGGCTTTCTGTGCTGTCACTGCTTCCTCTTTCTCCCATATCCCTCTGTGTTTCCCTGAGCATTAGCAGCTCAGGCTCAGCCCCTCTTTTCTGATGCAGCCAAATCCTGGTTTTTGCCAAGCGGGCTAGGAAGGCCTAACATCAGCTCTTCATAGAGGGCCTGCATTTAATCACTTCCAACATGGATCACCTTTAATCTTGCCCAATACACCCAGATCCTTACTTAATAATGTTCTGCTGAGGTACACATGCCAGTAGGGTTCATTAGCAAATTACAAAAGAGGATTTGAAACCCTAGGTCTAAGGTTTTCCTTACGTTTTGATAACAACTGATATGGCAGATAAAATCTTTGCTAATAATTGTGACATTTTCATATAGCTTGTATGAGCCAGTGTGGCACACTAGCACTTTGTCCTAAATATGCAAATAAAAGTGTCAGCAATTTTCTTAACCACTGAGCTAACATTCAAACACCTTCTACTGTTCCAGTTCTTCCTATCTCAGGACAGTAGGAAATTAATAGTTGTGAAAAGTGAATGAGTGACAGAACAGAAGTACAAGAAAGTAGAGTAAAGTAAAACGAAAGGAATAAGAATAAGAAGAAAAAGAAAAAAGAAAAGTAAAAGAAGAAAAAGGAAAACTAAAAGGCAAGGAGAAAAAGAAAAATAGCTTTCTGGGAAAGGAAGGTCTTTGACATTCTTCTTTAATTATCAGTGGATACACAGGATAGAGGAAAGAGTTCTATTTCAAAACTCTGACTTAATGACAAGTTGATGTGTAATACTTTGCCTGAAGACCCAGACAACATCGTTAAGAGAGAGACAAGTAAATTTGTAGGTAAGAAATAAAAATAAATGTTTCCACACCTCTGACATAACTGTAAAAGTTAAAAGGCTGCTGATAAATTGGAGACAAATGACTATTGTTCTGGCAAAATATGGAAACTTAATTCATTTTTGGATAACAATATTGCCAGCTCTTGCAATTTTATTATGAGCCTCATGATATTTGATGCTTTTCTTAAAGATCCAGCTCCTAGATTTATACTAATTAGGAGGTTATTAACTTTCATTAAAAATACCATGTTTCCAGTCCTGATACCTAAGCAGAAAAGTGCTTTTCCTAAAAGTATGACTGAAAAAAGTCAAACAAGGAGAACCCTAAACAGGTTCTTTGAAAAAAATCTATGCATTCTGGAAGTCTTGCACATGATTTTTGAATATTTGGCAATACTATATTAACTATAATTAAGTTAGAAATCTATTAAGTAATAAAAATAGTAAAGCTAATAAGAAACTTCTGCACTGAGAAAGCAGAACCTTCTGAAAATCGGCCAAAAAAGGTGAAATTCAGAAAGATTTCAATTTGCAGTGAAAAACCTTCACTTTTTTGTTACTTTCAATAAACTATTTGCATAGTGTTCCATAAAAATTTTTTTGACTATTTTTAAAAATTAGTTTTCAGAGCCTGAATTGTTCCACTGGAAACAAATTGAACCTATTGCCATAGTTTTCACCTGTTAGGAATTTATCCCCTGCCATCCCTTGAATATTGCTGACTCTGTGTCCATCACGATTTTAATCTTCTCAGGCTTCACTGAGTTAACGTTGTTTTGTGTTCAGGCAGCGTGAGACCACACTGCTAACAGGTGAATTGAGGAGACAACTCTAGTAAATTTTTTGTATTAGTTTCAGTTTTCCTAAATTGCAGAATCACAGAATCACAGAACGGTTGAGGCTGGAAGGGACCTCTGGAGATCATCTAGTCCAACCTCCCTGCTCAAGCAGGGTCCTCTAGACCATATTGCCCAGGATCACATCCAGGCGAGTTCTGAATATCTCCAGCGGAGACTCCACTACCCCTCTGGGCAACCTGTTCCAGTGCTCTGTCACCATCACAGCAAAGAAGTTTTTCCTCAGGTTCAGATGGAACTTCCCGTGTTTCAGTTTCTGCCCGTTGCCTCTCTAGGTGTGATCTGAGATCTAGTTTGCTTTGCAGTTTTCCCCAATTTCAAATTTCCTGCAGTGACTTATCTATGTATCCATGATTCTGTGGCAGACCTGCAGCTGCATGCAAGTCACCCAAAG